GACATAAATTTTCTATCATATGTCCAATTAAACAAACAAATTATTAAGCTCAATATGTTTGAATTTATACTAGATAATATATGAATTCACGTCATAAAATCCTTTAAAATTATAAATTAACACGATTAAGAGTAAAAGAAATTCCCAAAAATCATTAAACAATCGATATTTATGAAGTAAATTCGAATGTTTCATTCGCTCGTCTGAATAACTATATAAACGTAACCCAAGGCAGTTGACTTCCGTGGTTAAGGTCTTCTTCTTCTTTCTTATCTCCACCTAATCATATCAAGGTATCAGCTTATAGAGCTTGTTAAAGGTGTCTGCTGAGAATGAGTAGAACTTATCAATAGATGAGTCAATACAGTTAATAATATGTTTTGATGTTGCAGGTTGAGAATAGCATGGATAAAGTACACAAACAAGAACACTGAAGATTTCACAATCCATTTCTAGTAGTGTGAGCTTCCTCCAGTGAGGGAAGTGTGTTAATGATGGTATATGGCCATCAGGCGGACAATGGCGAGAGACGGATGTTGTGATAAGGCCATTGTTGCCACGTGCCTTGGATTACTCACAGGCCGGGGTGGGAAATGAAGGCCGTTCCTATCGATCGATAAATGTTCTGGAATTTCTTTTTCCTTTTGTGTGTTTTTCCTTAATGGTAGGTCATTCAAAACATTGTCTTCTAACTGTATTTATTGATATACATCACAGACTTATCTAACATGCCTGATAGAGGGTGAAGTCATAGTTGATGTTGGGAATAGCATTATGGAACAACTTGAACAGCCCAATTTTTCGAGATTATAGGGAAAAAGATATTGGTGGCATCGTACAGCGAATTCGTAGATGAGAAAAGAACATATAAACAGTTTAATCAATTCTATAGATATACATACAACTATATTTTGAACTGGGATATTGGTGATGGTAAAAACATAGGTAAAACTGTATGCAAAACTAATTAATATAGTATGTCACGATAATAAAATAAACGCAAGATTCAATATGTTTGATTTAATTGCTATGGTCCCATTGATTTATTGTGTTTTACCATTGTAGTTTACCATTTATGGGTTTTTGATAAATCATTTTGAACAACGTCTATACTCAGAAGCTCGTTTATCTTACAATCAAATAGTACTTTTTCAAATTTTCATTATTAGTTTCTATGAATATTAATAATATATCGTAAGATATGTTTAAGATTCAACGAAAATGCATGTTTGTTCAGAAATATTGTTCATATTCAATGCTTTTAATTGTTCTCGAAATCAATGAAGAAAGATTTGCATAGCGAAATGAATAGATTGTCATCGTCAGTTGCTAAAAGTTAGGTATGCTATCTTCAAAATGGGGAAAACGGTTAGAAGTTTATCTCTTCTAATAATTTAGCAAATATTCAGTTGTTTATAGCTCATCAGTAATTAGCCTTCCGTAATTTGAATTTTCATTTTAGGCACGAACGTCCTTTACAAGAGAAAACATTAAAATATACAGTTATCAGCGTCATAATCAATTCTTTTTTAATCAATTCTGTCACCGTTTGCTTTAGCTAATGAAAAAAATACCCAAATATGGCCATTTCTCATAACCATCGGTAGTTCAGTGGTAGAATGCTCGCCTGCCACGCGAGCGGCCCGAGTTCAATTCCGGCAGATGCAATTTTTTTTTTTTTACAATTTTAAAAACTAATTTATATTATTAGTATATACAGTTATCAGCGTCATAATCAAGCAACAATTCTTAATCAATTCTGTCACCGTTTGCTTTGTGAATGGAATAAATACCCAAATATGGCCATTTCTCATAACCATCGGTGGTTCAGTGGTAGAATGCTCGCCTGCCACGCGGGCGGCCCAAATTCGATTCCCGGCCGATGCATTTTTTTTTTTTACGATTTTTAAAACTCATTTATATATTATACAAGAATGACATCCACGGCGCCAATTTATAATTGTAACGAATAGTATTTGAATAAAAGCATTTAATCGGGTAAAACCCGGGCGTTGCCCGGGTCATTCGGCTAGTGATATAATAATTCTTAAATAATTATCATACCATGTTTTCTCCTGTAGAAAGGCGTTCGTGCCTGAAAACTAGAGAATAAAGATTTTGGCGATAAACTCCTTCATAGAATCCTGATATTTTTGCTTAATACTGATACAATGGATATTTTAGTTTATTTTCAGTTATTTCGTTCTTGTCAATATTTATACTCGGTAATCTGGTTTTTAATTGGTTATCGACCATTAATTAGACTCTTGTTAGTATATTTTTAATAAAAAGGCGATAAGGAAGATGGGTGTCTTTATTATTCTATATACAGTTACGAGCATCATTCCTCATATCCTAATCAATCAGTCAGTTTTCATCTCTGTCATCGTTTGCTTTTTTTTGGAATGGCGCCCTCCTATTGGTCACGCCACCTTTGCCCCTCCCCCCCCCCCCCATCATGCCCCCCCCACTCGCTATTTCGTCTTTGTAACTATTGTGTTGGAGCGGGTCGCTCCCTAAATAAATGCATATATTAGATAATAACCAAATGGAATCCTCTCTATCTTTTTCCCAGTAAGAGACGCCTACGGAAGCCAACAGTACATAGACAGATAAAGCACATAGGCTATAGTTATTAACTAACATATGCAATTGTTTAAGGCGCCAATTTATAATTGTAACAAATAGTATTTGAATCAAAACATTCAATCGGGGTTAAAACACGGGCGTTGCCCGGGCCATTCGGCTAGTATAGAATAAGCACGAGCTTTTGGGTAAAAACCCTTCTACAGGTGGCTATCACATAGCAAGATGGGCCACCATGGACCTCATCTTGCTATGTGATAGCCACCTGTAGAAGGGTTTTTTACCCGAAAGCTCGTGCTTATTCTATATAATAAAGACACCCATCTTCCTTATCGCCTTGTTTATTGCAAATTTTACTAGGAAGAGTTCTTTACAAGTATATTTTTAGTTATATAGCTTTCTTATCTTATCTTTCCGTAGTTTTATTATATAATTAAAAGTTTAGTTATCTTGTTAGTAGCTAAATTTGTACTAATTTTACTTTATAACGAATGTTATTATACAGATATGACGAGAATATAACCTCCCTGCGGTCCCCCCCTGGACACTTGGAATATTTGACCAAATTCTGGTCCAAGGTGACTAACGTGGCAACGGCACCCATTTTCCAATGTAGAGCAAAACCGATTATCTTCATTGGACACGACAACAGTAACAACGAGAATATAAAGATAGATGACAAAATCCTCAACAAAGTATCCGTATATTATATATACGGCATTGTTTTTATAGCTTTTATTGGGTTTTTCAATATATGCAGAAATTTGTCTCGCTATGCACATTCTTGTTCATTAATTTCGCGAAAGATATAAACAATCATGCATTTACTTGTAGGTCGATGGAAGGATGGTCTAAACCGTTGGTTTACGACCGCTACGATCCGGGTTCAATTCCCGCATTGGGCACTTTTTTCTGATTGAGAAAAAAATCTCCAATGGCCCCCGATTCTTGCAAAATTCCAACCCACCAGCGAGTGCAAGTATTCAAACGGGGCTCTGGCACATTTGTAAGTGCAAAGTCGAACTGCTTTTCACATGTGTAGACATGTGGTGCACTTG